ACTAAAAAAAGGTTGGGATTTTATTTAAAAAAAAAAAAAAAAAAAAAAAAAGTAGCGCTGAAGTTAGCTTTAGCATCAAAACAAATCAAGTATCTAACCTAATAATATATATACTGTATGTAATTTCAACATTTCTAAAACTGTTTTTAAGCGTTTATTACTGTCTAATCAGCGCTTTGTGCTCTGTTTCCCGCCAGTGTGCGTGTTCGTGCGGTGGTGATGACACGTGATGACTCCAGTGGCGGTTGGGTGGGAGGAGGCGGGCTCAGTCACGTGGTCATATGCAAGGGGCGGAGCCTCGACGGCAGGGGGCGCAGGGAGTACATCATCCGAGGAGAGCGCCTGCGCGACCGAGCAGTGAGTGTGTGCGTGTGTTACGGAGCCACGTCAACGCCGCATAAAGCAGGGGTGTCCAAGGTGTGGCCCGCGGCCCATTTGTAGCCCTCAGAGTGATTTTGTGTGGTCCCCAACTGCAATTCAAAAATGAAACATATTTGGCCAACAGATGCAGGCGGAGAGTTTTAAAATGATTTTCTTACAAATTATTTGTCTTTACAAAAGGTAAAACCACGTTTATCCAGAGACTTTTCCTGAAAAGCCAAATTTGCTACACCCAAGTCAGCTTTATTTTTTTTTTTATTAAACTTGAGTAAAAATAGGAAGCGTTTTGACAGAAAGTGAACCAGATTCTGAAATTATTATTGAAAATAAGTTATTCAATTGAGTTCAAAATAAACTGAAAACTAGATGCCTTTTTTAATACAGTGAAAATGCAGAATCCAAAACAGCAAATTAGAGTCTTTGTAGAGGAAAAAAAGGAGTAAATTCTTTACTCCAAAACTCAGAAATTCTTAGATTAATCCCAGAATTTTTCTAAAAGAAAAAAAAAAGAAAAAAGAAATTCTGAATTTTAAATGTCCAAACATTTTTTCTAGAAGAATTTTGAAGTTACTACATTTCTGAAGTTTTAGGTGGAAATGAATTGTATTATTTATTTATTTATTTATTTATTTATTTTTACAATTGCCCTAATACACAGTCATAATAATCCATTTTAAGTTTTTTATGTACAATAAATTAAACATTAAATTTTGCTACTTTATTTGCTTGATTTTACTTTGGGGGTTTGTTGACCAATGACTCATTTTGAGTCAAAAATTTTGGCTCAAAACGACAAAATATTTGGACACCCCTGACTTCGACACTGTAGTGACATTCAGATGCGGGTTGGGCAGCCAAGAGTAGCACTACTTCAACATATTTTTACTGAAGTAAAAGTAAAAAGTAGAGTAAAAAAGTAATTGGCAAATGACTGATCAAAACATCAGTAAATTAATATAAAAAAAAACAATGTAATTTGTGTGATTATGTGGTCAAAGGAAAATCATATAATTGCATTTATGTTAATCAAATGAAACCTTGACTTAAAGGAACTCAGTGTTTCAGCTGTTTTGTAGTTTTCTTTAAATTGTTCCAGATTTGTGGTGTGTAGAAGCTGAATGCTGCTTCTCCTTTGGTTCTGGTTCTGGGAATGCAGACCAGAACCAGAAGACCTGAGAGATCTGGAAGGTTGCTATGACAACAGCAGCAGATCTTTAATGTATTGTGGTGCAAAACCGTTCAGTGATTTATAAACTAGCAGCAGTATTTTAAACTCTATTCTCTGAGCTACAGGAAACCAGTTTTGGGCTATAGAACTGGATGATGTGCTCTAACTTCCTGGTTTTAGTCAGAACACCAGAAGCAGCGTTCTGAATCAGCTGCAGCTTAGGCAAATCTATAAAGACACTGTTGCAGTAATCAATGCGACTAAAGATAAACTCATGGATGAGTTTCTCTAATGCTGAAAAATTAGTCCTCTAATCCTGGAAATGGTCTTGAGGTGACAGAAGGTCGACTTTGTAACTGTCTTTATGTGGCTCTGAAGGTTCAGAGTCCATCACTGCACCTACTTTTCAGCCTGATCTCTAGTTTCAAGACGTAATAACCAAAGCCACATGCTTCGCCGTTAGAGTAAGGTAATTACTCGTATAGGGTGGATTTAGGACAACTACGGGAGAAAGTTGGGACCCACATGGAAGCTAAACTGGAATCAATTTGTAGCTAAGACCTCCATAGAGTTTCCAGAGGAAGCACTTGGATTCAGGCAACCAAATGGGTCCCAAACAACAAACCTGTTTTGAATTCAAACCCACTTAGTATCCCTCCATTCTGAATAAAATTCTTAAAGGGGCAGTATCATGTAAAATCTACTGTTTTTTATATTTACCTCATGTTATAATGTTATTCCATAATTAAAACACACCTGGAGTCTTTCATGTATGCTTGAAATATCTTTTAATCTCCTGGCAACCATTCAGCTGCGCAAAAGGCTTGGGTGGACCTAGCCCCATCTTTGAGGCGCAGCTTAAGCCATAATGATATATGTAGCATTTTTTAACAACTTAAGTTAACATAGTTTCTTGATTTTGCTATGAAATTGCGTTATGTCTGGAAAAATTATAACACTTCCCCTTTAAATAGTTATTTGGTGGAGGAATCAATGTTGATTACTTGTTGATTACTTCGTTACTTCCATCAATGTCCCATAAAACGGTTTGTTTTTGGTAGATTTGTGTTTGACTGAAAGAATCCACTTGGATACTTTACCTTTCTATTGTGAAACAATTTTGTTTGTTAACTGCTTATTTTTACATACATATTTTTTATTTAAATAAAGAATAACGTGACAAAAGAAAGGGGGTAGGAATAAATAAGTTTACACTTCTGCCTATGTCCTTTGCAAACGGTTATCTAAATATTTATCACGATATTTGAATTGTGAATGTGAAAATGTTTGATATAAATAAACTAAATCTAACTACATTCACATCTTCTGTTTATAATTTGTTAAAACCTCTTATGAATCACATGCAGAACCCACTTATGCACGCTGAGCTCAATCTGACCTCTGACCCTTGCTGTTTGCGTCTGCAGCCAGTGCTGGAGTGTGCGGTCCAGAGGGGGCTGGTGTACAACAAGGTGAATCCCATCTTCCATCACTGGAGAGTCGAGGATCGGAAGTTCGGTCTTACGTTCCAGAGTCCTGCCGACGCCATCTCCTTTGAAAAAGGGCTGCAGACCGTCTTAGACAAACTCGACAGAGGTACACCTGCACAGACACCAACGTTTTCATTGTTTTACTTTTGAACAATCCGTCCAGCTTCTCCTTTTCATCCAGGCTCTGACTCGCCATCGTCGTCCACGCCAGAAGAGGTGGACCCTGAAGACGATGGTCAAGCTGTGAGTTTTTTGGTTCGCTGATTATTTTGCAGTATCCGACAGCAACACTTACTTGACTGCTGTATTTAAGTAAATGTTTTGAGTATATCTACTTTATTTGAGTGTTTATATTTTTGAATAGCAAAGAAAAAATGAAAACAATTATTTTTTTTAATTGCATTTTATGTGTTGTAGACGTTTTGTAGCAGAATGGATCAATATGTCAATACATCACCATGTTGTTATTTTAGGAAGTTATAAGATTCTGTAAAAGCACTCAGAAAATAACACAGTGATGGACTGATATTAGAAAATATAGCTTGTACTTTGTATGCCTAAATATGTTTTTAAAAGTAAATATGAATCTCAATATTTATGGTACTTACTACGTTTTGGTAAGTAAGTATCGCGCATGCGCGTGACGCCCAAACTCTGGCAGTCCCATACAGGAAGCGAGTCGTCGTCACACAGCAGAAAGGAGATGCTTCCCAAGTCGATCACCATAGTGACAAGCGAGTCCTCCTCCACCTGCTTCGGGCGGCCCGAAGAGTTCATCTTTGGTTCCAGCCATGCCGTCACCACTCACACACCTGCTCAGGTAGATAAAAGACAAACTTTCTTCTTCACAACCACGTTTTGGCTCGTTCCTCTGCTGCAAATGTACACAAAACTCTGTGGCTATTCCGCTAATGTCGAAAAAACACAATTTCGCAATAAATAAGAAAAGCGATTAAAATCACAGGTAAATACGTTTCTTCTTATTCATCATCTTTTCTATTATGGCGGATCATAAGAAACTAGAATGTGTACAGTCAACTGTTGATCACGTGACTTGTATGATGCGATGCGAAAAATGTTTCAATTGCAGTTTTGCGAAACAGTCTAATGCCGACACAGCTGAAAAAGCTACCTCAACTTTTGGTCAAAAAACGTCTTTTTTTTTTTTTTTTTTTTATTTGGTTTTTCCTTTGAGGAGTTTTTTTTTTTTTTTTTTAATTTTTTTGGGCGAAGGACAACA